CACATAGCAAACACAACAGCTTTCCAAGAAGGACCTGCGAAGCAAGTGGGATGGGCAGAAAGGCAGTCCACACATCCAACACGGAGCGAAGCGGCACATGACCTACTCACACTACCCACTGAGGCAGGGAGTCGCTCCGATGAACATCCCATCATCACCCGTAGGGCCAACAGCCATCCGGAACTGAGCGCCCCCCCCTAAGAATGCTGTAGACACTCCACACGAGGAATGACCCGACTTTTTGGCACTACTCAAGGGTGCTCCGTTAGGCGCACAAAAAGTACTTAGAAAAGTACACGGAAGACAGAGAAAGAATTCAAAGAAGACAACAACAGACAAAAGCAGGAAGAATCCGAAGAAATACATTCATAAAGAGGTGTGTGTGTGTGTGTGTGTGTGCGCGCGCTCGCATACATGAAAGCTGATTGGTTGTGTGTGTGTGTGTGTGTTGGGGGGAGGGGTGCGTTGTAAATTGTTACCACAACAGCCCCTTTTCCACAGAGATGAGTAGATCCAGAACTGCAGCAGTTGTAGTACCTCTAGAGAAGAAAAGCAACCACGCTAACGATGAGCAGATCCAACATTGAAAAGTCTTACCTTCACAGCAAACAACATGAAGCACAATCAATCCGTTATACTATCTTGTGTGTGTGTGTGTGTGTGTGTGTGTGTGTGTGTGTGTGTGTGTGTGTGTATTTGTGTGTGTGTGTAGGCTTGTGTGTGTATTTGCGTGTGTGTGTATGCGTGTATGTGTATTTGAGTGTGTGTGTTCGGAAATGATCTCACGGCGCATCCGCCATGCTACTCCACTCTTTCAGTGGTACACCAGGTTCACCCATAGCCCACCACATGCCGTTTTAACTGCCACCCATCCATGCTACCTTGCCAGCTTAAAATGATAGGCCACACTCAAACAAACCAAACAGGCAAACCACTGCTGCCACTTTACTTCTCTGAAGCTACCTCATACATGCGTGGCTAACCACAACCAGTTTTCTAAGTTCCTCATAGGATGGAGGGCATGGGGGAGGCGGGAGGGCAGATGACACACAACGACACCAAGCAGGCAATGAAAAGGCATGACGTGATAAGGCATGGGATGACAAGCAACAGCGAAGGACAAAGGCTGGGGGGCACAGGGGAGGTGGAAGGCCAGACGACACACAAGCACACCAAGCAGTTTCCAGGAGGAAACACACAACTGAGTGAGTCAAGTGAACGGACAATCCTTAAAGTAGCATTGCAGGTCCACTCGATGTACACAATACAGAAAAAAAGTACAAGCACAAAATTGAAACTCGAACAAATGACACAGGGCAACAAGACATGAAAGACAGTGAAGTAAGGGACATAGGCTGGAGGGCATGGGGGGAGGCGCACGGGAAGACAGGACTTGCACGGACTCATCAGGAGGCTGAACCCTCAACAATCTGCGGAATCCCCATATTGATGCTTTGGGTCATGAACCCCTTGACCCTTGTTGAATGCAGACTGCTAGCAAGCAAGAACACAAGCGGAAAGTAACACCAGCCAGCTTTGCCGGGGTGTTGCATACTAGTGAATACATTCATCAAGTATGGGCAGAACCAAAGATCAACCAATATAGGATGAGCATATATGCAGCGGAAGTCTGAGACCCAATTATGGAGGTGGTGGGATGCATCATTCGGACTCATTCCACTCTCTTACAGGTTGCCACATCCCATACGACATTGGCCTTTTGTTGCTCGACAAAAACCAACATCTGATGGCGCAATGGTCTCCCTTCGCCACAAACCTCTTCTCTTATATGAGACTGCACGTACTTATGTTGGCTTGGAAAGCTAGATGTTCCTTTCAATGAAAAAGCCACCAATTTGGGTTGCAACAAGCACAACAAGCCAGGGAGGATGAGGCCTGAAAACCTTTATCAGGGATTATCGGGAGGAAAAGGAACCCGCGGTCAAGGAAGCCATCCGAGAATCCCACCACCAACTATGGAACGACCCGTCCCAATTCTTTTATGAATTGGATGTTTCCCAAAAACATACGATGGAACCCGTGGAGGACATCGAAGCAATCTTGGCAAATAACCCCTTCCTCCCGACCAATTTTGTGTTAGTATCCGACCACCAGTTCGGTCCTTCCCTGTCTCCTCCGTCCCCTCACATACAGCAGCCGTCACCGCCCCCMCCCCCCAGACATTACGTCTACCCCTGCCCCCCCCCCCCCCCCCCCCAGCCACCTTCCCCTTTGCAACCACCAACCCCTCCTCTTCCTCCTCAACCTCCGCTTTGCCCCCCCTCACCTCATCCGTCCCCCAACATCATCAGCGCTAGGGGCTCCAGTCAGAAGAAGATATGGGAATCTCCCGATAGGAGAGCGCCTGGAATGAGACAGTTGAGGATGGAGTATACTGACAAGAAGGTGACCAAGGACGAAGGAACCCTGGCTTCAAGACATATCAATGATGACGGCTAGGGAAGGGGTAGTAATGGTTTCAGCGGCCACAATATGATATGGCCTAAGTGGGCCTCATGCTACAAATGGTCCAAATGCCAACCCTAAGGTTTTCAATACGAAATGTTTCGGAACGAAATTTCTTCACCGTGCTTCTTTTGAACTTAGTGCGATATTTAAGCGCTAAGGTCAATGCACAAGATTCCTTCATTAAGTGAACTATCGACCATAATGATGGTCGATTGTCCACGAAAGAGTAGTAATTCAGGATTCCGAGTATTCTCTGATTGTAGAATCTTAATAAGCTATATCAAGGACTGCTGGACTTTTTGGCTACACAGAAACAACATATCCCGCAAGAAATAGACTGGTTCAACAACGGTCTTTTCTACCTGGGGAAGAAATGCCAAGAATATTCAAAACAACTAGCGGCCAGAAACCATTAGCAGGAGATGGACATTCACCAACAAGTTCAACAACCTAAGTTACAAGACCAGTTTAAAAATCTAGACAATAACGCAAACAGTAACCAACACTCACAACGAGAAGGGTACTCAGAGATGCAAGTCCTACAACAACGTCTTCAAACTTTTGTCTCACAACGTTGGGAAGGTATACGTATCAGAGGACGAATGACACGACACCAAAAGGAAGGTTCCATGGACAAAAAATTATTCGGTATGGCCCGATCACGCACGCCCAAAACAACGTTAGAAGCGCTCTACGACCCGCACTCAGAACACAGAGACATGATATGTTCTGCACCTCAATGCACGCAAGATAGCAAGGTAGTTTTTCAAAGACTTGTTAACCTCTGGGCATTCCCAACAAGCGAAAGACGTTAGAGAAAAGGAAATCGTAAAATTCTAAAAACCAATGAGAAAAACCCTGACATATCAGCAAAGAATTTACCTAGATTAGTCTCTGTCCAAAGAAGAAATCTGGACAGCGATGATGTAGATAGATAAGGAATAAAAACGGGCGCGGACGGACTCCCCAAGGAGTTTTGGGAAACCCTGTGGTTCCAGATGGCCCAGACCTCATGGAATTCTATCGACTAGTATGGGAGACAGGGAGCATGGGGGAGCTGGTGGGGGAAGGTATCCTTACTTTGTTACATTAAAAAAAAGATAGGATGAATATCATAAACTACTGCCCAATAACATTACTCAAGGTTGTTTATAAGATGCTAGCGAAAGCCTTAGCGAACCGTCTCATCCATTCGACACAGACGGACTTTGTCAAAGGTCGCAGAATCCAGGCCAATATTTTACTGGTTAATGAATTGCTCAGGTTAACCAGGCAGGACAAACAAAACGTGGTCGTGGTCTTCATTGATTTTGAGAAAAACTTACGATAACGTGGACTAGCTATTTTTGGACTATTGCATGGAAAAATGAATATAAGACCGGCCTTCCGCCGTTGGTCTGAAATTTTGCATCCGAATGCAACCACAAGCGTCCAGATAAATGGCAGAATAGCACCGGCATTCCCGCTGCAACGCGGTCAGTCCGTCAAGGCGATTCTTTGACACCCTTTCCGTTTATAATTGTGATGGAGACACTGACAACGAACCTCCGTGCAAACAAAGACCTGAGGTAGCTGCAGATCTCTACCATCCCAGAGGAAGCGATTCCCATCTGTTCGTTGTTTGCTAATGATTTGACACTCGTAATGGACGTCACCATCGAGAACATGGAAGAGATCAGACGACCTTTTGACAAATTCGTGGCAGTTTCAGACATGACAGTTAATTGGGGAAACAAAACCCTGGGGTGGTGGATTCACCACCAAGGGGGGCGCCCTTCGGAGCTGCCACAAGTTAAATGGCTCCCAAAAACGGCCCCGGTAAGAGTGCTAGGAATTATGTTGATGGTAACAGGAAAACCTGCGTCGAATGACAATTGGATCCTTAAACCCGCCCTAGAGAAGCTGGCGCGCTGGAATGACAAACATACCTCCTTAATTGGCAGGGCGTTGGTGATCAACAATGTTGTGTTGGCCGCTCTTTGGTACAAATCCGCAATATGGGCACTTAGCAAGGAAGCAGAGCGGTCGCTCAAGCGGCAAATAACGACTATGTTGTGGAGAGGCAACTACGAGTTTCTAAACGTGATCGATAGGGTGGTGTGGTTGTCGGTAATCCAACCCAAGGATAAAGGGGCCCTGAAAATTTTGAATTCGGGCACCCAGATCACAGCACTGATGGTACAGTGGATTAGGAGGCTGGTATTCACACGGGATTTTCCTTGGTATGCCCTGGCGCTGGAACAGATCGCTCGACTAACTCCACAAACACCGCAAACAATAAACCCCTTGACCTGGCTAGAAGACCGCTTTTGGGTCATACCTCGATGGCCCCGCACTGGCCAAGCCGGGACGCAGCTCGCAGCGACCTCACCAAAGATGACTTTTGGATTTGCTGCTTGAGAGCCTGGCGCCAACTCCGGCTTCCAGACAGACCCGGACCTACCAGGTGGGAGGAGGTAGCACGACAACCCCTATTCCGGAACAAAAATATCACTGACCGTAACGGAAGGGTGTACCGTAGCTCGGACTCCCCATGGAACAACTAGGTCAAAAAGGGCATAATTAGAGTTAAAGACATCCGGGATTCAGACAACAAGGATTGGAAAACAGAGGTACAGATGAGGATGTTACTGAAACATTATCACAACATAGAAAAGAACTTGGAAAATCTGATCTTCGCAATCCCCCTGGATTGGGTGCGCCTCCTTCGTAAAGGACCGAGGCTGGTAGAAAGAGACTTGGTATCCGCTCCCGGGGAACCGGAGAGTGTTGGCAGCGTTGTGATGGTACGGACGAACGAAAGGCTGATTAACCTCTTTCACAAAGAGAAAGACAATAGGCTAACCAGATGCACCCCGGACGTAACGAGATGGTGTCGGAATATTGATTTGTACAAGATCCGGGTGATACGTGATAAGGATGATTGGATAACATTCCAGCCGGAGACCAGAATTGCAGATCTTGACCCTGAGGAATGGCAGTGGCCCCCCACGCGCAGAACCCAGGAAACAAAGAATGTAAAGTTGTACAGCCTAACGGTGAAGACCACCTACCGTTTACTGCGCCCCAAGGTAAATTTGAAGGACATTGTGAAGTCCTGTTGGAGATCTCATTTAAATGTGGGGATCAAGGTCATCCGCCCCATTCAGTGGTTCTCCCTCACGAGGGTCAGACCCGCAAATCTTGCCTCGCTGCGGTGGCATATACAACATCGTTGCCTCCCCACCAATGACTGGCTAATAGATCACACGTACCTGGAACAAAAAGGACTAGCACTCCCGAGGTGTAAGTCATGCCACACGGCGTTCCCATCCCGTAAGATCCCGGAAACCATAGAACACATATTCTTGCAATGTCCGGGGGCTTTCCTAACATGGTGATGGTGGGACAAAATCTGGAACGTGTTGGACACTGGATCGGCCTAGCCATGGGACTGGAGGGCGATACTATGTGAGGCATGGACCAATAACTTATGGCACAATGGTAGAAAGTAAAAAATCATCTGGATCTGATTCAAACACAGAAAGATATCAAACAAACAATCCAACAATTTTCAGGGGACTAGGCAGCGAGAAGGGGGTCGAATTGCCTTCATCAGGTGGGATGGTGGTCGCACCCAGGAAGACAATGAAGGCACTTAGGATGACAACCGGGTGACGATCAAGAAAGACTATACAATGGTAGAAAGTAAAAAATCAATTGGATCTGATTCAAACACAGAAAGATATCAAACAAACAATCCAACAATTTTCAGGGGACTAGGCAGCGATAATGGGGGTCGAATCGCCTTCATCAGGTGGGATGGTGGTCGCACCCAGGAAGGCAATGAAGGCACTCAGGATGACAACCGGGTAACGATCAAGAAAGACTATCAGATCTGCTTCAGAGACTGAACAACATTGGGTTGAGAGATCCCGCTACGGCCACCCTCGGATTTTCCTGATCCCTTTCCGCCCCACCAACTAACTATGGTGGACATGCAATGGTACGGAGCGGAGTAAGCAGGACAGCACCAGGTAGATTGCAAATGTGCTGCGTCATTTGGGTGACTGTGGCCATGATTCTTGGAACCTCCCCAACCTCCCTTCCATCCTTCTTTCACTACCTTATTCGGCCTCAGACGAGTCGAGCCCGTCTCATTGTTCTCACGCAGAGGAACTAGTTCATAGCAGCAGATATCCGGCGTCCGGTATGGGGCGAAGAGGTTTCCTCCCCTGTTTTTTCTATATACCCTGCTCAGTCAATCCTATGGACCCCAGAGTAATCAATGCGAGCAGGTTGTATCCTCTATTTTCATTCTGTATATAGGACGTTAGACCCGCTTTCCAGCAGGTGATGCTCCCCACCAGTAGATGGAGCCTCTCCCTCGGTGTTAGCGGTGTCTGCCCTTACCAGCACCACTAGCACTGGAGGGGTTGTTTTTCTATAAAAAAAAAAAAAAAAAAAAAAAAGGTTTTCCAGTACTCGGAAAGTAAGAAAGGGAAGATGCTAATTGTTGCACGATCACTTGTAGCGGTCTAGTTCTAGGCTGACGAGGCATTTCCTCCGTAAATTCTAAAGGAACTCCGCAAAAGATTTATCAAGGAAGGGCTGCAGATTTTTGGAACACTGCAAGACTAGAGAGAAAAGGTACAAATAGGACAAGATCAACGACTTTACATTTCCAAGAATGAGGCTATGTCGGTACTGAGGAGAGTTTCTACTAAAGTGACGGGCATCACATTTGCAGCCCCAGGAAAAAGTAGCTCTTAGACAGGAAGAATAATGATCGTAGCCAATGTACATGGTACTACAATGTTGTTTCCAAGGGACGTTGGACCTGGTTTCCAGCCGGTGTCGCTCCCCACCAATAGATGGAGCAGCCCACCATCCAAGGTCTCAATCCCGACGGTTCTTATCACCACCAGGATAGTGGACTTGCAAAAGGAACTCTTCCAAAAAAAATAAAAATAAAAAAATAAGCCATCAAGTTGACAAACATCTAGAACAGATGCTCTCCACAACGGAAAGCTTTTTTTAGGAATATATATACATTCGAAAGCAGACAATCCAACTCCGTAGACAGTGCGCGAAGCAAGAGAACAATTATTTACTTATGTGCATAAAACTCTCTCTGAGTTAAAAGAGCTAGCATACAATTTAGGCGAACCGATTCAACTTCCATAAAACCCGGGAAAACATCAAGGCAAGACAACTTATCTAGAGAATTATGATAGAAGTACTAGACATCTTGGGAGATGACTATTATAACTTCATACGGGCATCGTGGAAATGAGAAGGAACGGTTAAAGTACCTCAGTACAGGGATCATACTGAGGATATCTTAGGAGATAACTTCGTACAGGCAGGGGGGAATGAAGGTGGAAGAGTTAAGTGCCTCAGTACAAAGATCGTATCCCTTCTTTGGAAGAGAGAGGATACAACAGACATCAAGAATTAGAGACCTATCACTCTCCTAACAATGGAGTAATATTTGTTGAGAAGTTTAAAATTTTGATACACACATTTTTAATTATTATTATTATTAATTTATTATTAATTTTATTATTATTATTATTATTATTATTATTATTATTATTATTATTATTATTTCATCAAATCAAAAGCAATTGCGGATAACAGGAATCAAACCCATATACGTAGTACATACCAACATAATAAGGAGTGTTGCTAGTAAACGCGTCACACCAATCAGTCAGGCTTCCTCTAAGGGAGATTTGTTTGTGATAACGTAATGTTTTTAGTAGAACCAATCTGGGTCACAAAGGGCAAGAAAATGATGCAACAATATTGTTTTTTTTTTTTTTTTTTTTTTTTTTTAATTTCGACCATTTATCGATTTATGTGTGTCATCCTTGCGCAAGGGTTATGCTAATCTTCTCTGTATCGTTCCAATTTTAACGGATGTCTCGAAGGACGTTCTTCGATTTTGAAAAAACTTGCAACGTGGTTAGTTGAAATTCCTTTCACCAATGCAGACAGTGAATGTAGGTGGGTGCAAATTTAAGGAAATAAGTCAAGGTACTTTTTAATTGTGCTCACGGGAGGGTACAACTTGACACAAACATCTGTCTACTTTTTATCCTTTCACGAGGTCGGTTATGCAAGGCGATTCTCTAGCAGTCCCTATTTTCCTCCTCATAATGAAGGCAATAACATCCTGCATACGAAATGATCTATTAACTCAAAGAGTCACACAAATGAGACAAATCATCGTTTTTGAATCGCCATTATGATCCTCTTTGCTGACGACTTAACAATCCTAATAAGAGTTTTCAACTCTTAATTCCAAGCACTAACACAGGTTATACCAGCGTCAAAGAAACCAGTAGACACCAACTCACAATCGACGACTCAGTTGAATACCCGACAGAAAAGGACACTGGAAATGAAAGTTTAGGCTTTCAACTAACACTGACAATGAAAGGTGAACTCGAAAGTCACCTGGAATTCCATAACATGCAAAATAAAAAACAGGTCTTCACACGATAGAATACCCTGTGATTATCACTACCTCTGGACTGAAGGTTGCACAAAAAAAAACCAGTTATAATGAACAGGTATTTTATTCGGGTGAAACCGGTAGGAGTACTAGACCTGGTCACACAAATTCATGCCCTCCGGCGATAATGGATACTTAAGCTACTAAGAAGCCTAGGCCTGATATGGACGCAACAAGCATTGGCCACACAAATCCAAGCCCTCCGGTGAGTAACGGGTTGACCACACGACTGTCGAAAACACGATTTTCGATAGTTTCTCTTGGCCACACAGCTTGGCGAAATTGGAGACGGGAAGAAAATTCGCAAGTTGTCATAGAATGTTTCTCGACACCTTCTTCCGAAAGTTGTTGAATCCCTAGCCTGCCACTCCGATGCTTTCAACAGTCCTCGACTGCGGGATCGACTTCTCCTCAAAATTTGTTGAGTGAGCGTGAGGTCGGTATGGACTAATGCTTGTCGTACCCTTAGGCGCGTTCATCCTTTTCCATCTTGCATTCACAAGTGTGTCCATTCTACAGTGTTGTGTGGCTAAAGGGGGAAAATCGTCGAGAGGGCGGCTGTCGAATTTATTCTGACAGCCACTGAAATTTTCGGTCTTTCGACAGTGGTGCGGCGAGGCCTTTTTTTTATGAATCTCTGGACGTGATGGCAGCCAGATTGATCCATGTCTAGTTGTAATTGCAGTCAGATGCATTTGGGAAAGTGTTAGTGTGAGTATGCCCTCAGAAAATGAAGTTACGGAGACAAAAGGAAACAAATTGTTGTTTAACTGCTTGGTAAGTTTTTTTTTCAGAAATACTGGCGGATGCACATGTTTTGAAACCCTAAAGGCAAAAAGCACTCGCGCCAGCAAAGAAACCACGCCCTAACTAGAAATGAGCAATTTTGGTCCAAAATTATTCGTTGGGCATTTTCTTTTTCTTTTGTTTCCCCCTCTGAGACCATGGCCGACCCCTGTAAATATGACACCTGGTCTGACACCACGACCGTCGGTACTTGCCTTGCCTTTTCAAACTCGGGGCGGTTTTCTTCATAGAGGCATGTTTTTTTTGCCCATTCCATACTCAAACATACTTACCTCTTTTCTTCTTCTTCTTCTTCTTTCTTAAATCTTTTTTTTTTTACTTTTTTGCCTGCTCATTTTCATACGGTTTTTGTTCTTTTTTATTCCGTTAATTTGTTAATTAGACTGCGGGGCTCGCCACACCACTGTCAAAAGGCTGAAAATTTCAACGGTTGTCAGAATAAATTTGACAGTCGCCCTCTCGACAATTTTCCCCCCTTTAGACACACAACACTATAGAATGGACGCACTTGGGAATGCAAGATGGAAAAAGACGAACGTGCCTGAAGGTACGACAATCATTAGTCCATCCTGACCTCACGCCCACTCACCAAATTTCGAGGACAAGTCGATCGTGCAGCTGAGGACTGTTGAAAGCATCGGAGTAGCAGGCTGTGAATTCAACAACTTTCGAAAGGAGGTGTCGAAAAACATTCTCTGACAACTCGCAAATTTTATTCCCGCCTCCATTTTTTTCCCTTCTTCTCTTTATAAAAAAAATACG